TTTTCTTAATTGAGGTTCCCTCCCCTGAAATGACTCTAGCTTGTGTAAAGTTACATAAAACCAGCCAAACAGAATGAAAACCGTTCACTCATAGTTCTACCATTGTTAGCATTGTGACTGTGCTTCTTTCAGTCTTTTTATCCTGTTTACTTTTTACCTAATTATATTAATCATGTGATCATGTATAGTTTGTTCTCTATTTTTTTTTACTTAACATGATAGTAAAAATGGTTAGATTTTAAAATTACATTTAATATGTGATTGGCATTAAGTGAGTGAATTCTAACAAAAATATATACATTGTATAACTTGTTTTATTTCTAGGTCTGTAATATTGTGGCTGGGCAACGGTGTATCAAGAAACTAACGGACAATCAGACTTCTACTATGATTAAGGCAACAGCAAGATCTGCACCAGATAGACAAGAAGAGATTAGCAGATTGGTTAGTACATAACTCTAGAAATAGTAAAGTGTATTAGAGTGAGCTGATGCCATATTACCATTTCATGAATTGTCAGAATTAAGAGATTTTGAAGACAGGTGTAATAGTGCACACCGTTAATCCCAGCACTTGGGAGGCAGATCTTCATGAGTTCATGGCCACTCGGTCTACAGAGGACAGCCATAACTACACAGTGAGGCCTTGTCTCAAGAAGAAGAAGAGAGACATGTATCGCGGAATAATGTATGGTGTGGGAGAGGGGTAAACATTAGTAAATTATATGGGAAGGGTTTGGTTCTTCTAACTTAACTCTAGACCATTTAAATCTAGGGAACAGACTCATCAAAAGTTAACTGAACCCCCACCTAAAAGAAGGGCAAAGGGGAAACATCAAAGTATTATAATGAGAAAAACTAAAAATATAATGTTAACAGTCAATCTAGAATTTCTTAGCTACTAGTGTCAGGCTGAAACTGTATACCTCATGCCTATAATCCCAGCTCTCTGGAGGACAAGGCAGGGGGATCTTCCTAAATTCAGGGCCTTTATGGGCTACATAGACAACCTTAACTACAAACAAACAAACTGGGCCTTGAAATCCCAGCACTTGGGAGGCTGAGGCAGGAGGATTGCCATGAATCGGAGGCCAACTCAGCCCAGACCACAGCAAACCAGTTTCAATAATGCAGGGCTCCCGAAGTCTTATAGAAGTGAGGGGCAGGATGCTAGTATTACTTGATAAAATTCACATTACTACTCCACAGTGTATATATACTTCAAAACATCATGTTGTACCCATTAAAAAATACACAGTGGATTTTACAAGGCTCCTGGCAAAATAAAACAAACAAACAAAAACTGTGTGCTGCTCCAGACCCCTCAACTGGTGTCCAGGAAGGGAAGCCATCTTGCTGATATACCATGGCTAGAACAACCTCCTGAACAATGTCACATTCTACCTGAATGGAAAATGCAAGTTTTTCCATACATTGGCAAAAGAAATGGAGAGAAGGCTGGGAGTGGTAGAGCAGCCTTTAATCTCAGCCCTCAGGAGGCAGAAGCAAGAGGATCTCTTGAATTAAAGACCAGCCTGACCGGGTGGTGGTGGCACACGCCTTTAATCCCAGCACTTGGGAGGCTGAGGCAGGTGGATCTCTGTGAGTTCGAGGCTGGACCGATAGCCTCCAAAATAATACAGAGAAACCCTGTCTCATAAAAACAAAAACAAAAACAAAAAAAACAAAAAACAAAGACCAGCCTGCTCTGCATAGTTTCAAGCTCCAGGATTGCCGGGACTACATAGAGAGAGACCTATCTCTATGTCTTAGTTAGCTTTTCTATTGCTGTGAAGAGACACCATGACCATAGTTGTTTGTTTGTTTGTTTGTTTGCTTGTTTGTTTGTTTGTTTGTTTGTTTGAGACAGGGTTCTCTGTGGCTTTGGAGCCTGTCCTGGAACTTACTCTGTAGTCCAGGGCTGGTCTCAAACTCACAGAGATCTGCCTATCTCTGCCTCCCAAGTGCTGGTATTAAAAGCGTGCACCACCACTGCCCAACTGACCACAGCAACTCATAAAGGAAAAGCATTTAGATCGAGTGACTTACATTTTCAGAGGTGTAGTCACTTATCAGCATGGTGCAGCATGGTGGCATGCAGGCAGACATGGTGCTAGAGCTGAAATAACTACATCTTGATAGGCAGGCAACAGGAAGTGATCTGTCTCACTGGCATGGCTTGAACATATATAAGACCTCAAAGCTTGCCTCTACAGTACACACTTCTTCCAACAACACCACACCTACTCCAACAAGGTTTCACCTCCTAATGGTGTCATTCCCTATGGGTGCCATTTTCTTTCAAACCACCATACTCCAAAAATAAGGGAAGAAGGAAAAAGAAATACAGAGAAGACATCCTACTCACCAGCCTGACCATTGCTGTCTAAGTCCTCCCAGGAAATCCTGAGCTCAGGGAAATGGGAGAGACACTCCCTGAGGAACTGAGTATAGCATACCCTCTGGGAGCTCAGTGACATGACACTTCAGGCCTTCCTGTGGACTGCAGTCAGCAACCAGCAGCTTGTCCAATCTCAGTGATGCTGAGGAAACTGTCAAAATCAAGGCTGGGGGTACAGTCACCCACTTCATATTTCAAGCCCCTAGGAGCTCTGGGGAAAGAGACAGAACTCATCACCAGCACCATATTTAGTCTCCCTTGTCTTACCATTGAATTGGGGATACTCAGAAAGGTATAGATCTAGTGTCTCCTGGGCATGTTACCTTTGATGTGGCCACGGGGATGCTGTAGACCCTAAGGAGGACTTCCAAAGTTAGCTGTATGAGTCCTGAAGCCAACAGACAACACATACTAATTCATTCTGGGACTTACCACTTCCCAGCTCCAGACACTTCTGTTATATAGTCACAAAGCAGATAAAATTAATAAAATTACTGTCATTAAGAGATTGTAGCAATATAGGAAATGCTTATGTTATACATTACATGAAAACAATTATATTAATAAACAAGACCTCAGAAATGATAAGGTAGACTTGTATCAACATGTTAAAAATTATGTTTCGGGATAATCGAATTATAAGTGACTATTGTTTTCATTCTTCCAATGTTGTTTTTCCTGAGAAGGGGCTTTTCTGTATACCCCTGGCTGTTCTGGAACTCACTCTGTAGACCAGGCTGGTCTTGAACTCAGAGATCCACCTGTCTCTGCCTCCTGAATGCTGGAATTAAAGGCATGTGCCGCCACCACCTGGATTATTTTCTTTCTTTAATTGTGATTTATTATTTTTGTATTGGGGGGCATGCGTGTGCCTGCAAAGGTCTTTGCTAGAGTCAGTTCTCTTCTTCCTCCATGAGGGTCTCAGTGGTCAAGGGGCTGAACTGAGGTCATTGAGCTTGGAGGCAGGAGTTTTATTCACCAAGCCATCAACCCTTCTTTCCCATTTTCCTGTGAAGATCATTCATCACGTTCATGATAAAGTATTTTAAAGTTAAAAAACACAATATTATCTGTTCATTTCTAAAACCTTGATATAAGAAGATAAATAGATTGAGGCTGGAGAGATGGTTAAGAACATCAGCTGCTTTAGGAGAGGACATACATCAGGAGGCTCACAAATGCCTGTGATTCTAGCATAGGGGATCTAACACTATCTCCTGGACTCCACAGGTACCTGGATACACATTGGGTGCGCACACACACACATGCACACACATACATACATGCACACACACATACATGTACTTGCACATAAATTTTTTAATTATAGAATATTTATTTATTCTTATTTGTTATTAATAGAATACTCAAAGTGGGGTGAGCTTTTTGTTTTGTTTTTTAAGGAATACCTGAATCTTGTGTCACTCTCCCCTAAGCAAACAAGGGGGGGGGTAGAATCAATAAATATGAATATATTCCCCAAAACAGTTTACTAGCACTTTCAGAATTTTTGTTGTTTTTTTGTTTTGTTTTGTTTGCTTTGTTTTGTTTTTTTGGTTTGGTTTGGTTTTTCAAGACAGGGTTTCCCTATGCAACAGTCCTGGCTGCCCTGGAAATCGCTTTGTAGACCAGGCTAGCCTCGAACTCACAGAGATCCCAACTGCCTCTGTCTCCCAAGTGCTGAGATTAAAGCTGTGCACCACCACACCCAGCATTTATTCAGGCTTTAATACTACTTTACATGTTTTTTGAAACAGTTTCTGTTGTCTTGTTAAAAAAAATTTAAAGTAGTTTGATAATCATTTGTCAAATGCACAACTGAGGTACTAAATGTTGCCTAGCACAGATAAGGTTTCAATCCCCAGCATTATATAAAATCATTGTGGTAGCACATACCTACAGCCCCAATACTCGGGAAGCAGAAACTGGAAGATTAGTTCAAGATCAGCTTCACCCATACAACAAGTTTGAGTTTGAAGAGTAGCCTTAGCTACATAAGAGTGAAAAGCAAACACTATCTTAGAGTTGTTTTTGCTGTAATAGAACACCATGACCAAAGCAACTTGAGGGGAAGAAAAGGGTTCATTTGGCTTTTACTTCTACCTCACTGTTTGTCATCAAAAGAAATCAGGACAGGGACTCAAGCAGGGCAAGAACCTAGAGGCAGGAGCTGGTATAGAGGCCATGGAGGAGTGCTGCTTACTGGCTTGCTCCCCATGGCTTATTCAGCCTCTTTTTTTTTTTTTTTTTTTTTTTTGCTTTTCAAGACAGGGTTTCTCTGTATTATTTTGGAGGCTGTCCTGGAACTTGCTCTGTAGACCAGGCTGGCCTCGAACTCACAGAGATCCATCTGCCTCTGCCTCCCGAGTGCTGGGATCAAAGGCGTGCGCCACCAACGCCCAGCTCATCAGCCTCCTTTCTTATAGAACTCAGGACCACTATAGGCTGGTGCCTTCCTTCATCAATCACTAATTAAGAAAATGCCCTCCAGCCCAATCTTATAGAAGTAATTGTGGTTCCCTCCTTTTAGATAACACTAGCTTGTGTCAAGTTGGCAGAAACCTATCCAGCACACAATGTCCTGAGAGACCTTACAGATATCTGTTCCATGTACTTAAGTTGATGGCAGAGAGGAGAGAGACTATGTCTGTGCTCAGTGTTCTGAACAATGAACATTTGAGGGACTGTAGCTTGACATTCTGTGGTGCCTATCAACTCCCTGAACACTAGCTGTGGGACCACCGCTGTCCTAGTTGTTGGCTGGCCCAAGCCTCTGATGGCCTTGCACTTGCTCACTGTGAGGTAGAAGAGAGGTTTCAGGAAGATGAGTGACTAAAGCTGATTGTCATGTGGCCTTGGGAAGAATGCCCAGCCATGCCAGGAGGAAACATGGCCCAGTTCAGTGCCCCAAGGCTGGCCTGAACAGGTGCAGATACAGCTCTGTCTAGATCATAGGCCTCACAGGTGTGCCCACTGTTACCTGACCAAGAACCTGCTGAACCGCCTACACAGGCTTCTGTTGGGTAGTCCAGAGTCTGGGCTGTTGCACATTTCTTATTCTAGAAGCCCAAGGCTTACATTGTGAGCTATATTTTTTTTTCCAAAACTAGTATAGTAAGTCTGTGATTGCCTACAGAACTGACTATTAGTTAGGTCAGTGGTCATGGTACTAGGGGCATGGAAGACCCTTCCAAGATTCCATTCAACACTCCCATCTGCCCAACTGCATGTGGTCTTAGCTGTAATGATTACATAAGAGGAGAAATACTGGCTGCAGATGCTGTAGCAAATGTCCCAAATAAATTTTCACTTTCTCAAAAACCAAACAAAAAACAAATCAGAAATTCTCTCTGGACTGGAGAGATGGCCCAGCCAGTTAAGTACTTGCTGATACTGCAGAGGAGCCAGGTTTGGTTCCCAGTACCTACATGGTGGCTCATAATTGCTTGTAATTCCAGTTTCAGGAATCCAAAACTTTTCTGATCTCTGCAGACACCAAGCAGGCACAGAATGCTCATATATACATACAGACAGTCACACAGACACAAAAAAGTGTCTATTTTGTAAGCTAATAACTATTACCCCTTTGCCTTATAATTCTATAAAGAGAGAATGGTAGTTATTACATCTTGCCTAATTAGGAAAATAAATGTTGATTCTCACTCTAGATTTTTGTCTAATTGTATTATAATACAGTTTTAAAAGTTCCCTAAAACCTGTAAGAAACAGCGACACCTCAAACTCAGAGAGATCTACTTGCCTCTGCCTCCCAAGTGCTGGGATTAAAGGTATGCACCACCGCTTTCCAATCAATCAGAAGATTCTTATCCCATTTTATATAAGTATTCCTCTCTTCTAAAATTACTTAATTATTTAAAATTATCATTTTCACTGATCACAAATAATTAAAGTGTATTATTCAACCTAATGTCTACATTTAAGTTTTGAATAAATTACCAAGGTATTGATAGACTTCCCAGTCCCTGACTTCACAATTTGCATGATAATATTCTTTGCTTTATAGTCAGCGCAGCAATGATTCTTCTTATTACAAAATATATGGTTAGCATAGTGAAAGGTAAAGAAGAGGTTCTAGCAAGTAAAGCAAGTGGTTCAGAGAAAGTCTGAGAATAATGACAAATCTTTTCTGTCGCTAGGTAAGAAGTGCAAACTATGAAACAGATCCATTCGTTCAGGAGTTTCAGTTTAAAGTGCGGGATGAAATGGCTCATGTAACCGGACGTGTGCTTCCAGCGCCTTTGCTCCAGTATGGAGGACGGGTAAAGCCTGTCAGCAATGTTTTAATCAGACACACATGTATAATTTTCTAAGCATGGACAGAATGGTATTCCGAGCCTTCAACTTACTGTTTTATAGTTCCATCAATACATCAGGTGTTTCATTTGTTTCAAGGTGGATTTTCTTGTTTGAGTTTAACATAATTTTTTCACATTTATTTATTGTTGAGGGTGCATGTGTGGAAGTCAGGGGGTAACTTGAGGAAGTTGAGTCCTTTCCTGCCATATGAGTTCATGTGTGTGGTGGGTGTGTCAAACTCAGGTTATCAGGCTTGGGGACATCAACTGCCTTTATTTGCTGAATCATCTTGCTGACCTCTTAGGTTTTAACAGTATAAACAACATTGATTTAGAACAGTCAATTCCATATAGAGATTTGATACATTAAGATACTGATACATTAATAATGTATCAGTTCAGCAATTTGAAATACTTGCTAGAGCTCACCAAAATGTGTTGTCTGGTAAAGTGTTTGTTTTTCTGTGCTGTTATTTCTCTTACAGAACCGGACAGTGGCAACACCAAGCCACGGTGTGTGGGACATGCGAGGAAAACAGTTCCACACAGGAGTTGAAATCAAAATGTGGGCCATAGCCTGTTTTGCCACACAGAGGCAGTGCAGAGAAGAAATACTGAAGTAAGCTGCTGCACTGGTTTGCTTTGGGGACCTTTTGTGTTTGGAATTTACAAATATATATATATATATATATTTGGTGGAACTAGGGGTGAGCCCAGAACCTTGTATAGCCAATAAGCTGTACCGCTGAACTACATCCCTAGCCCTGAATTCCAATTTTAAATTATTCATCTCATATTCTAATAAATGTTGCCTTTTTATGGAGTATATTTAACCAATGAACCTTTAAAATTGTTTCTTCCATCTGCCTGGGATCACCTATCATTACAGTCACGTGGGATGCTGTTTGTGCATATGTAGGCCAGAGGTTAGCCTACAATGTCATCATTCATCACGCACTATCCACTTCCTTTTTTGCCTAGAACTCATTGAATTATTTAAGCAAAAAGGCAAAAGTTGTCAACTTGATAAGAAAAGAAAAAAATTCATACTACAGTTTCAGAGATAAGCATTAAGAATGAGTATTTTATTCTTGAAATTATAAAGCCTGGTGTTGTAGTACACACCTTTAATCCTAGCACTCAGGAGGCAGAGTCAGGTGAATATCTGAACTCAAGGGCCAGCCTGGTCTACAGAGTGAGTTCCAGGATAGATAGCTAGAACTACACAGAGAAACCCTGTCTCAAAAAAGAAAAAAAAAAAAAACAAGAAAGGAAAGTAATTATAAAGAAAAATAAGTGTGTAAATTTATTTGTTATACCTGAGACTTCAAAAATTATAGCCATTGGTTAAAATCAAAAAAATTATTAAATTATAGAGTCTAGTAACACCCTCAGTTTCAAACATCCAGTGGGGGTCTTGTATGCGAATACATATGTGAATACATGTATGTATGTGTTCATATGCATATATGTGCGTACATGTTGAAGCCTGAAGTTGATTTCAGAAGGCTTCCTCAGTTGCCTCCACCTTGCTTTCCTGAATCTGGAATTCATTAATTCAATTAGACTGACTGACCAGCAAACCACAGGGAGCCTCCAATCTTTGCCCTCAGTACCTACGGTACAGACATGTACAGCAAACCTTTTACCAACCAAGCTATCTCCCCAACCCCGCTAGGGACTCTTTGTGCATAGCCCCAAAGGAATAAGGGAGATTACTGTAGGTGACTGATCCCTCTGCTGCCTTTAATATTAGTAATCAGGTAACCTTTGTATATGGAGCAAGCACACAAAACAATCTTTGCTTCATCCTCCCTCCCTTTCTCTTTCTTTCCTTCCTTCTTTCTTCCTTTCTTCTTTCTCCTCCCCCCTCCCTCTTTCTTTCCTGGTTTTTGCAGACAGGGTTTCTCCTAGATTTGCTTTGCAGAGCAGGCTGGCCTCAAACTCACTGCCTCTGCCTTCCAAGTGCTGAAATGAAAGGTGTATGCCACCATGCCCAGCTTCCATTTCTTTCTTAAACTTTTCATTACTGTGTGGTAGGTTTGGAGCTGGAGATATAGCTCAGTGTAGAGTAAACACACAAGACCATGTGTTCAATATTTAATACTACACATACAAAAGATAAAGTATTTTCTACATTTTGATGTCTAGACAATGGTTTTCTATTTAGTGGTTTCACCTTCTTTAGAGGTTTCACAGACCAGCTTCGAAAGATTTCCAAGGATGCAGGGATGCCTATCCAAGGCCAGCCATGCTTCTGCAAATATGCACAAGGAGCAGACAGTGTGGAGCCCATGTTCCGACATCTCAAGAATACATATTCAGGACTGCAGCTCATTATCGTCATCCTGCCAGGAAAGACGCCCGTGTATGGTAAGGACATTTTACAACTGCATTTTTCAGGAGTGAGAGTTTAGCTCTGTAACATGAAAAATAAAAACCCAGAGACTGATATTAGGGTTCAAGCTTGGAGCTGAGGATCAGAGAAGCAAAGCAGCCAGCCACTAGCTCTAAACTCTAACTCTGACAGAAAGGTTTGATCCTGTCTCCATGAGCTCTCCACCAAGCCTCAGACTGCTGCCTCTCCTCAGTGTGGCTGAGACTAAATCTCAGAATGCAGCCCAAGACCCTGAGCTCCTGTCATGTATATACCTCTCTAGGACTGGGGTTAAAGACATGTGATGCCAAGTACTGAGCTCTCCTTTGTGTGAGCTGTTTCTCTTTAGGACTGGTTCAAGTTCATGTAGCTCAGAATGGCCTTGAACTAACAGATCTGTCTGCCTCTTTCTCCTGAGTCCTGGGATTAAAGGTGTGTACCACCACTACCTAGCTTCAATAGCTAACTAGTGTGGCTGGCTTTGCATTTTGATCCTCAGTGATTTTATTAGATTATAAGCAATATACCACCACATAGCTCATTGCTAGAGCACTGGCCTAAGATGCACACAGACCTGGGTTTTATCTCCAGCACTGCAACAACAGAAATACTGCACTTTTTTCCTTTCCCCTGCTTAACATTGTTTTTAGAATTAGATTGCCTAAAATTGCAAATACTAAAATATATTTATACCATTGTATTTAAAACCACATATTAGGCTGGGCTTTGGTGGTGCACTCCTTTAATCCCAGCACCTGGGAGGCAGAGGCAGGTGGATCTCTGTGAGTTCGAGACCAGCCTGGTCTACAGAGTGAGTTCCAGAACAGCCTCCAAAGTCACAGAGAACCCTGTCTCAAAAAAACCAAGCAAACAAATGAACAAATAAATAAAAATTAAAAATAAAGCCACATATTATTACTTTAAGGCAAAGTCTGTAAGATAAGTGATAGGAAAGGGAACCCTGGGAAATGAATTTTAATACCTAAAAGAGACATCACAAGCAATG